CAGCAGGAGATTTATAATCACTCGCTGTACAATTGATCTGGCCATATTCTTGATAAATTTTATATTATTTCTAAATCTCTCTTGTTTCATAAAAAATAAATTTCTAGTCAACGTATTTTTCCATACACAGGAAATATAATAGAATCTTTATTTCGCACGATCATTAACTTATCTTAACCTATACGTGTTTAAGTGCGAAGTATCACGTGTTTAGTAGCACAATACACACTGTATGTCATATAATATTTATCTTTGCTACTTAAATTAAATTGCAATAGTATATAACTTGAGACCAATTTAATTTGTGCGCACTAAATGCCTAAATTTAATCTTTAAATTTATTTAAAGTCGATGAAAACACCGCTCTATATTTACATCTTTCCTCCATCTGTAGAACTGTAATGTAACAGGTAGATCACATAATCCATTACCGACAGTATATTTATATTACATAAATAAACACTTTTTTTCTACATATATATTATGTGTTAATTCGACTTAAGAAAAAAATTGATTTTGATAAAATAGTAAAATAAATAAACATTGGAGAGAAAATAAAATTAAAAAAAAAAAATATTTTTTATATTTTTATAAATTTTTTATNNNAAAAATATTTTTTATATAATTTTAATAATTTTGTAAAATCATAAAATTTTAAAAAAAGTTTTTAGATTATTATTACTATATAAATTTAGAATGAAACATTAATAAATACATTGTTTTTTATAGAACGATCATAAAGAACAAACAATTCTCATAAATTAAACGTTGAATCCATATTCTTTAAATATTCCTCGATAATTAGAAGACATGTCGCTTTTTTCTCTAATTTTATCTATATATGAACTTCCATTTTGAATCATCTTTTTTTTTTCATGAAGGAAAGGATTGATAAGGGGTTAGCCGCAAATCTTACGCAAATTATGTTACGTGCTCGCTGGCTTGGCACCGGCTCAGCTGAGCGGCCATAATACCGATAAGCTGATGTCAAACAGCATGTCATGGCCATGTGTGCACGAGCGTTTCAACGCAGATCGTAGATCCTTTCTCCTACGCCTGTCAGTCGGAAAACAGCGGCGTCCGTATCGCTTTAAAAGTTTCGCGGTCGGAGATTATACGCAAACGTGAGAAAATTCACGGTAAAAATTCGTTAGTTTCAACGAAGTATCGAGAAATCGATGTAAATTTCAGATTGCGACACCGCGAATCATAAGGCAATAACAATAACATCATTCACTGTTTGTTTAAAAAGGAGATAATCGAAGCAATAATGTAAAGTTGTAAAAGACTCGACGTTATTTTTAAAAATTGATTTAAAATTCATCGAAGATTCTATCATTGAAATTGACCGGAAGTTTTGCTACATCCTACGCTAATGATGCCAATTTATGAATCAGTCAGTATTATGCAATCATTCGCAATTTGTAATTACCGCAATAGTTATATATTATCTTGCAAAAGTGTTATTGTCTCCGCAGACAATATTATTGTTGTTGTATTACTGTGTCAATATGTTGCAGCGCTATTTTGTATTAGCTTATTTACATAATTTTATAAAATTATTCCAAAAATATTATTTATCACACACAACACACATGTAAGAGATTTTAAATTAATCGATATAAAAAATGATAAAAAACTAAAAATTTTGACAATTTATCAAGTATAAACAGAGCTTTTTTCCATTATTTTCACATATGTCTTTTCGAGATAACAAATACCAAATTCAATTAAAGACAAAATACCGACAAATGTATTGACACAATATGTAATTTCAAGATTGAATGTTCTTTCCGATGCGGAGACTGCGAATTTTATTCCGTTACCGTAATGTAGACTAGTATGCTAACAGTATATATAAGAAGATTGTGCTTTCACTGAGAATCGCGAGAGTTGCCACGTGATACATCCTCATACAAATCAGTTCGCATCATCTGCAGTCAGATACGCGCGGAATTGCTTCGTGAAAGTTTTAGCTATAGATTCCGCGGAATTTCGCACAAGAGTGAGAATTATAATAAAAAGACTTCGCGCTTTTTGAATCTGTTATATTTTTTTACGAATTTTCTAGTGATATTCTTTATTGAAAACTAGAATAATTTTTATCTTCATCTCGTTTCTAAAACTTTTCGTACATCTATTTTATCGTTTATCGTGTATTTTGTAAATTTACTTGCGCAGATAAAGCTTCGTAGGATAGTGTGAAATAAAGTTGGCGATTTCAACGCGTGTTTTCCAGAATGAACAAGAAATGTAAGAATGAGGCTCCATCAAATTATACTGAAGAAATAGAGCGACTAATTAATGCTCGCAGTCAAGACATTAATGTATATGTGTTGATAAGTGAATCAATATTTCGCTTTGAGTGTTTCTTTGACTAAATTGAAGAACTTAGTTTTAATTAGAAATAAACTCTGCAAAAATAATGGATGTTATTTATGCATAGTGATAAGATTATTGGCCACATGTTAAAACCGACTCGGAAAAAATAGAACGGACTATTTAAATGTATATAAATGGACGATTTTATAATGCTTGACACGGTTTTTCTGTTGATAATTCGTTATCTTCGTACTTTCAGATATATGTTTCGTGTACGTATGTGTAATAAATAATTTAACACGAAGAAAATAATATGCATCGCAAGTATATAGGTTGAGTTCATTAATGTTATTTTTCATATATTTTTTAGATAAATATTTTTTATTCTCTTACTTATTCCTAGGATAACAAGAAAATCGCGTAACAGTTTAAAATATATCCTAAAACTGTAAAATTGAATTTATATAGATTTTATATAGTCTCACAATGTAGAAAATTAGAACGTAATCATCATAAATTACAAATAATTATTTAATCAGAAATTTGTGTTACCAGATTAGAACATGTGTCCGAATGTTCCAAGTGCAATTTAATGGTAATGAATGTATTTCTGTGTCTGGGATTACGTCGAGTTTCCGGCGACGTTGACTCTATTAGAATCTCGTTTGACGGGCTATTCTGTTCACTTGTCATACTCAATGTGCGAAGTGATTACGAAGGATAATGTATCTATGTATCAAGTCATATCGAAATCGTGGACTCATTGTCTAAATATCCTAAATAAGTGTTTTTCAAATAAGTCAAAAATCTTCCAGTTGTATCTAATATAAGTGAATAAACAAGGTAATATTAAAAATAATATTTTCTCTCATAAATTACGATTATCACACGTAAATTCGTTAATTAAATGCATAATATAAATTTACTAATATATTAATAAATCATTATTATTTTCTCATGTCATTATCGTTAACATTACTAATAGCATTGCTATCCCGCGTATATTTTGTTATTAATTGTAAAATAAATTACTGTGTTATTAATATTTTGACAAGTGTGATGTAATCGAGAGTGCGAAATATTTTCTGTTTTCATGTTCTTGCCGTATTGTTAGATTTCTCTCTACGTTATTTATCTCTCTATATCATTTGTCATCTGTTGACAGTGTTTGATAGAATTGCTTCCGTAACAGATGCGAATAACGACGTCGCTTTTCGCAAGGCAAATTCGCGCGCGCTAAAATATCAGTGACTGTTAACGAAAGTGAAAATCTCCAGGAAAAGAATGGCAGTGAGACATTATGCGCATCAATACACGATGCGATTAACGGACGAGAAAAACACCGATGCAAATGTCAGTAGCGAGAATAGTGACATGGAGGATTATTATCCGCTGATCCACCATACCATGAACAGCGCGATAGTTGAAGTGAATGCACGTAGGCGAGGAAAAGGAACTGGCTGGGACGAGACGGTAAGATTACTTTCTCTCTCATCTTTCAACTTAAACATTATTACCAGTGATAAGTCTTTATATTATCTCGAGAAAACCCATACTTTTATAATGACAGAGAATTACTTTTTGAAGATTTCTTTCTGCTTCTTCTTTTGAATATAGTTACGTGTGATAAATTGTCATGTCATCTCGTATAGTATGCAAAAAAATATGTTTTCTAATTATTAAATATTAATATTTATATAATATTGTATAATATTATATAATATTAATATTAATATTTATTTCTCGTGTGTGTAATTTTTTATTTTATTATGGCTTGATATAGTGTTTACTGATAAGCCCTACTTCGTGAAGAGCAAAGATTATAAATCTTTACGCATAAATTTGGCAAAAGCTAAGATCATATTGCAATAATAAATATCAATGTCAATGTTGGGAAATGTGTCCTCGACAAATAATATCTTAATTAATATAGCATTTTATATTTAAATGTAGTATATATGATTAAAATTAACTGACACTTGATCCCGCAACTTGACTCTGACACTTGAACTTTATTCTTCGAAAGTGCTGTAACCGATATTTACAGCTCTTTCTGAAATATAACTCTTCGCGTTATCGCAGAAATTAAAGATAGGAAATATTTCATTAAGAATAATTAAATAAGAAGATCTAATTCTCACATTTTAGCATGTTTCGCAATATAATGGATTTACAGAAATTTCAATATTATATGTAATATTACGTGTGTGTGTGTGTGAAATGTTATAATTCCCAATGCGTGAATCGGTTTTATATGGTTTATTGTAATTTGTAGCATGCGGGAGAACAAATGATGTTGTTTGTGAAATCTGCTTAGAAGATTACATTTGCGTACGGTTGATTAAAGCCAGGTATTAAAAGATTACACGTTCACACATTATTAGGGGATTAAAACATCGCAGGCGATTTTAGATCTCATTAAACGCGTCGAATCATGTCGTTCGGCAAAATCTTTCACTACGAATTTCATTAAGAAGATAAATAACGTGTATTCATAGTCACGACGTGGATTTTCCCGTAAATTAACATTGCGTTATATTTGCATAAATGCGCGTTTATCGAGTTATTATTATCAATTTTGTTTTTATTATGTAGACAAAGAGTGCAAAAAGAGAAAAAAGCTTTGACTTTTGACATTTAAAATAAATTCTGATGTCATTTTAAATATTTGGCATTTCGACATGTATTCATTATTTATATTTCATCATTTGAAAAACCTGACAGGAATGCATCTGTGCAAATATTACGACTGTGAGAGTCGCTGTAACTTATTTACATAATTGTCGGATGAGTAGCACGTACAGTCGTTAAATTGCTGTTGTACAGCTGATAGAAATGATCAGGTTAAATAATAATCAGCTGTTTTGCATTATTATAAAAAGTATTAAAATTATTTTTTCATAATAAATAATTTGCGCTTTTTGATAATTATTTATTAATATGTATAGTGTTTTGATGCATTAGTAACAATAAGGAAAAACTATAATATCATTTTTTCTGATATTTAATGTAAGGGCATTTGAAAAATTGCTTAATAAAATATCCATCAAATAAAGTATACCAGATGTTACGTGTTTCATAAACGAGATGTGATTCTGCATATTTGCATTAAATTTCGAGACTCAAAAATAGAGATATAAAAATACGTCGTTCATGTCTTTTATTTAAAAGAAAATATTAATCTATAGTATAGCCTTTTTTTTCTATATCCGATTAATTAATACAGAGTACCGGTTGTAATTTATACCAGAATCCGCGGCTTAAACGATGTTATGGAATTACAGTGAAACACAGAACACTAATCGTCAAACTTTACGAGACGAAAGAGAAAGTCAAATTTTTTTATATTTTTGTATACTAGATATACAAAAATGTATTTCATATATATTGCGAGAATAGCATATTTGACAGTTCAATTTTACCCTGTATATTCTGTACAGGATTAGCGAAAAAATATATCTCGCTTAAAAAAATATTATATAATTTTTCTTCTCTGACAATATATGCGAAAATGTAGGCAAAAGGCAAAACGCGGTACAGTGACTGACGAACTAAATTGTTTTGCATTTTATGAATTGCAAAACTAGAGAGAGATGTGGCCTTTGCAGCTTCGTGGTGTTATCATAGACTTTGTCAGTTATCAGAGTGCTCCTTTCAAAAGCTAAGAGATGGCGCCACAATAATCTTAAAATACACTGTTATTTTATTATTACAAATTCTTTTACAATGGTTTTTTATTTATTTCTCATTATTATAACTACATATATCTTCATATATATAGTCTTCTATATACAATTATATATAAAATATTAAATTTGGTGTGTGAAATGTTATAATTCCCAATGCGTGAATCGGTTTTATATGGTTTATTGTAATTTGTAGCATGCGGGAGAACAAATGATGTTGTTTGTGAAATCTGCTTAGAAGATTACATTTGCGTACGGTTGATTAAAGCCAGGTATTAAAAGATTACACGTTCACACATTATTAGGGGATTAAAACATCGCAGGCGATTTTAGATCTCATTAAACGCGTCGAATCATGTCGTTCGGCAAAATCTTTCACTACGAATTTCATTAAGAAGATAAATAACGTGTATTCGTAGTCACGACGTGGATTTTCCCGTAAATTAACATTGCGTTATATTTGCATAAATGCGCGTTTATCGAGTTATTATTATCAATTTTGTTTTTATTATGTAGACAAAGAGTGCAAAAAGAGAAAAAAGCTTTGACTTTTGACATTTAAAATAAATTCTGATGTCATTTTAAATATTTGGCATTTCGACATGTATTCATTATTTATATTTCATCATTTGAAAAACCTGACAGGAATGCATCTGTGCAAATATTACGACTGTGAGAGTCGCTGTAACTTATTTACATAATTGTCGGATGAGTAGCACGTACAGTCGTTAAATTGCTGTTGTACAGCTGATAGAAATGATCAGGTTAAATAATAATCAGCTGTTTTGCATTATTATAAAAAGTATTAAAATTATTTTTTCATAATAAATAATTTGCGCTTTTTGATAATTATTTATTAATATGTATAGTGTTTTGATGCATTAGTAACAATAAGGAAAAACTATAATATCATTTTTTCTGATATTTAATGTAAGGGCATTTGAAAAATTGCTTAATAAAATATCCATCAAATAAAGTATACCAGATGTTACGTGTTTCATAAACGAGATGTGATTCTGCATATTTGCATTAAATTTCGAGACTCAAAAATAGAGATATAAAAATACGTCGTTCATGTCTTTTATTTAAAAGAAAATATTAATCTATAGTATAGCCTTTTTTTTCTATATCCGATTAATTAATACAGAGTACCGGTTGTAATTTATACCAGAATCCGCGGCTTAAACGATGTTATGGAATTACAGTGAAACACAGAACACTAATCGTCAAACTTTACGAGACGAAAGAGAAAGTCAAATTTTTTTATATTTTTGTATACTAGATATACAAAAATGTATTTCATATATATTGCGAGAATAGCATATTTGACAGTTCAATTTTACCCTGTATATTCTGTACAGGATTAGCGAAAAAATATATCTCGCTTAAAAAAATATTATATAATTTTTCTTCTCTGACAATATATGCGAAAATGTAGGCAAAAGGCAAAACGCGGTACAGTGACTGACGAACTAAATTGTTTTGCATTTTATGAATTGCAAAACTAGAGAGAGATGTGGCCTTTGCAGCTTCGTGGTGTTATCATAGACTTTGTCAGTTATCAGAGTGCTCCTTTCAAAAGCTAAGAGATGGCGCCACAATAATCTTAAAATACACTGTTATTTTATTATTACAAATTCTTTTACAATGGTTTTTTATTTATTTCTCATTATTATAACTACATATATCTTCATATATATAGTCTTCTATATACAATTATATATAAAATATTAAATTTGGATTTTAAATCAACACATATTTCCAAAGATATTAAACTTAAGTTACACCTAAAGGAAGTATAAATTTAATTTATATTAAATTTTATTTTAATTTCTAACAATAACTTCTAAGAAATTTTATCATTTTACTAGTTCTCTCGCTATTAAAAAAAAAACCCTCAAAAAACCAGAATTTTCGTTTCTTTTATTTTATTTTTCAATATCCGTAATTGTAAGAACAATTCGATAATACTGGGGCACCATGTATAATGCCCGTCGTTTGAAAAGCAAAAGACATCGTCTCGTCGCGTTATACTTTATATTCAAATGACTCAATTCATTCGTAACATCATTCCACATTGAAGTGATGTAAAGTTAGCGGACTGCGTTCATCATCCTTACTAAATGAGATCCACAGTATCTGGAATTCGATATTGGTAGTCTGGAGCGAACGCGGATAACCCGGGCAACCTCGTTAGCTCTAGAAGATCTATGGGGAATATTGGAACATTCGCACAATACGTCAACTAACACCTGCCATGGAAACTGTGTAGGATGAATATTTTTGTTACACATAAAAAAGTGAGAGAGAAAAAGAGAGAGATTTCTTTCTTTCCTCCAGAGATGTTTTTATATGCAAACTCATGAAATCTAAATCTCTCGGCTCCCCAACTGTCAAGGGACTCTACAGAATTCATTTCTTCGATAACATTTTCATGTTCTAATTTCCAAATTAGATATTAATTAAGTTATAAAAAATATTTAGCTATATATTAAATAGAATAAAGAAGAATATATTTCCTTTAACATATCTTTTACGCTTTATTACTATTGTCAATAGCCGAGTCCCAAAAATTTTTAGCTATTAGCCTATTTTTATTATAAAAGCAATAATAAAATTATGAACTTTGATATTGGGGATCGATTTAAAAGAAATCCTAAATCTTTTTATTTTTTCTATAATAAAAAATAATTTATTTTATTTCTTTCGTACTCAAAACATTAACGCGAATTAAATAAATTTAATTCTTTAATAATAGATTTCGTGTATTAAGTAATTTAAGATCTA